GTTTACAGTGTGTTGATCATTCATTCAAAGCCTCTTTTATCATCAAAACATACAGAATATATAGGTTTGAAGTTTGCCAAAATTATTTCCATCATTACTAGATCTTACTCTTCATATATGCATAGTATGCTGATGTGCTTTGCCTCTTAGTTGTGTCAATTTGTTTGCTGTTGTCTTGCTCAATTTGTGCCACTGTTTTGACTCCATTTTCTTGTTGTTTTGTCTTTCATAAATCTTTAGAATACTGCCCTTTGTTTTGTGCCAAGTTTCTTGATTTTTTAGGTTCAATTTTCACCATTTGTCTTGTTGTTGTCATCCATTTTTTTTGGCTTCTACCGTGTGCTGTATTGGTTTGGACTTCTTTTGGTGTTGATGTTGGATTGTACATCTTTCCACTTGCTTTAGCCTTGAGCTGGTACTCTTAAATCTGGACTTATGAGATATATTACTATCTTGAAAAAAAAGTGCAAGTGAGGGAGTGATCTTGTTCTTTCTTTCACCATAAAACTGTGAGCCTTGAGCCATCATTTCTTGGTGTTTTGGAGTGAACCTTGGCTGCTGTTTACGCCACTTTTAGCTGTTGTTTTCACACTAATTCTAACGTGGTTGTTGTGTTAGATTGTTGTTGTTTGTGCCTTTTTGAAATGTCTACAGGTTCAAGCCATTCCTCTTCTAATAGAGCTAGTCATCATGGAGGTACATCTAGCAAGTTTGATATGATGAAGGCATTTCAACAAATGCAACACCAACTTGATTCCATTAGTAAGCGGCTAGACACGGAGGTAAAGGGAAATGGAAGCAAACACATGATCATGAGCATGGTTCATCGAAGAAGAAGCAAGAAGATCACACCTTGGACCAAAGCAATGCAATGTCAAAGTTGACTTTGCCACCTTTCAAAGGAGAAGCCGAACCTACTGTATTTTTAGATTGGATAGCTAAAGTAGATCATATTTTTTATTTGTATAGTGTAGAGGGACATTTGCGTGTAAAGTTAGCTATTTTAGCTTTAGAGGGATACGCCATGCAATGGCTACTTAGGATGAACAAAAACACCACCAAGAGCTCACGCGCGAGCTCTTAGGAACATTTTCGGGACTTGTTGTATCAGCGATTCGTACCTCCATACTACCTTAGGGACCTCCTGATTAAGCTCCAACGACTTATTCAAGGTAGACGAAGTGTGGAAGAGTATGCGCGCAAGCTCGAAGTGCTCTTATATCATACTAACAATACAAATGAAACTGAATACTAAAAAATAGCAAGATTTATCAGCGGTCTCAACAGAAACATCCAAGACATTGTGGAGCTCCATGATGATGAGAACTTGGATGTTGTGGTGCATAGGGCTATGAAGGTTGAAAGACAAATTTTGCGAGAAGAGTCCTACCGTAACAAGCTTTCAAGCTTTCTATCATGAAACTCTCTATATTTGTGTTTTTGAAGTTTAAGTATATTTGATTAGGTGTGAATTGATATATGATTCAAGCTTTGAGGATTAGAAGTTAGCCAAAGTGTTTAGAAATGGTCATGTTGGGTGTTGTTCATAATTCTGTAGAAGTTCTGCATAATTATGTAGAACGCTGAAATGGTTAGTGTTGACCATTCAGCCTTGTTCTGCTTTCGATCATAATTAGGTCAGTCTCTTTAGAGACTCTCCAGTTCATAACCGTTTGGATTCTTAAAGAGTGTTCGGTCTTAGACTGGTACTCGATTTCTTAAAGAGTGTTCGGTCTGTACTGACACTCCATCTCTCGAAGAGTGTTCGGTTGGTACTGGCACTCGGCTTCTTGAAGAGTGTTTGGTTTATACTGGCACTCGGACTTTTCAAGAGAACTCAGTCTTGTACGTAGCATTCGGTATAAATTGTAAGGGTTCTGTTTAAGGCGATAGGTCTTAGCCAGTAGCATTCGACGTAAGCCAATAGTGTTCGGTGTAAGTTAAAAAGGGTTCAGGGGTTTAATGTTCGGTTATGTTCATAGGTTAAAGCAGTACTTCCATTCGGTCACCAACGTTCACAGGGTCGTTCGGTCTTATGAGTGAAAATATAATATGTGTATGAAAATGCTTTAAAGTAATGTGGAAGAGAATTCCAAGGCGGAATGTCTCATGAATGGTTTGGAATGGTAAAGTATGAATGTGGTCATGCTAAGTGTCGTTTATCCTGATGTTCTATGATTACTCATTCTCAAGTAGAGAGGAGTAACTCATGTGTGAGAACGGCAGGAGGTCCTAGTCCATAGGGTGAGATGGGCGACAACATAACGGACTTACCTCGGGTGGCAACTGTTGAGAGCATCCCAACTACTACACCACCTGGGTGCAAAAACGTCTAGCTACACAGTTCATACAATCCGGATGGTCAAGTTTACGTGGTCGGTCTTTGCTTGTTATGTGTCTCAGTTATTGCCTGAAACATGTACATGATGGTTGTATGGTTGATATGTTGTTTTCTTTGCTGGTTTTTATCTTTGTTAAATAATGTGTTGTATGGATTAATTAAATTACTCTAGCTTACCCTACTTTTCTGTCTTGTCCTTCCCTGTCCGTTCGGTCGTTCTCTTCACTACAATGATCATCCTTTGGATGTGAGCAGAAGGCGATGAAGACTCCCTAGAGCAAGTGCTGAGCGAGGAGCCCCCATCTTCTTAATTTAGGGTCGTTCGGTTTGTACATAGTACTGTATGACCATTCGGTTTGTGTATATATCTTTTTGTACACCGTTCGGTTGTAGTTAGCTTGAAGAACCGTTCGGTTTAGTCTTTCATTTTATAAAGTTTAAATTCTGTAGTATTTTTGTAAGGCCGATCGGCCATAAACATATCCCCTTTTCTCTCATAACTTAACTGTAATATTATTAATCGTGAGTATTCTATAATATGACTTTATCCTATATTTTTTTGGATGTTATGGTTGCCAATATGAGTCTTAATTTTGAAAGAATGTTGAAGTTGAAATCATTACTCATTTTTATTTTTATATTGTTAAAAGTTTAAAAAAAATTATAATTTTCAATTTTTAATAATACACTTGTCTATATTAAATATTCGATGCAAATTGACATGCTGAAACCCAAGTTTTTGAGGAATGCAAACAGATATCCAATTTGAATATCATACGTTAGGATACATATATTTTTGAAAAACTTATTCTCAATCTGGAATAAAGGAAAAGGTAAAAAATAAACATAAACCTAATTAGAATGACTCTACAAACAGAACAATATTACATTTTCTACCAAAAAGAAATATAAAGAAACCATTGATGAAAGATTAAGGTCTATGAAAACAAAGTTTTTAACAAAAAATAAAACTAAACAAAAATTGCAACTATAAAATATTCACGTATGCAATTAGATGTCTTTATTAAACTTTTTTCTGAATTAATGAAAGAATGCCATGTATAAAAATTTGTTATTTACGCGTCCTCAATTATTATTATTATTATTATTATTATTATTATTATTATTATTATTATTATTATTATTATATATATATATATATATATTACAATTTATTATATTATTAATTGAAATTATGTAATTATTAATTCTTTGCTATATTATTACTTATTTTTTAATGGAAATTTTTATTTACATTATAGTGTCATCACGTCAAATCAAATAATTTAAATATGTATCAGGAAATGAGTAATTTCGACAAAATATATAAAATTAAAATAATTACTATACATTTTTAATTCAGGTTTTAAACTTTAAATTAGTTTTTTAGTCAGCTATCCTATTTTAACTATATTTACTATTTTTATATTATTTCCTTGTAAAAACAATATTAACAAAAAATATATATTAATATTTAAGTATTCTTTAAATTCAGATAATTTCATGAAATATTATTATTAAATTAGTTACTAGTTTTCATTAAAATAAAATTAAAGTTATTATTACAATTTATTATATTATTTCCAATTAATTATATTATTAATTGAAATTAAGTAATTATTAAATTTTTGCTTAAACTATTAATTATTAATTGAATTATTATTATTATTATTATTATTATTATTATTATTATTAATATATAAGTTAATAATGTATAAAATTTATAAAATATTTATATACATAATTAATATCTCATGTAATCTAGTGTAGTGTAATATCTAGTATAATAATAATGTAGTATCTTTTGTGATATAGAAAGTGTTTTCTTATGTAACACTAATAAAAATAGATGTTCAGGTGTTGAAATTGTAAACTGTCACTAGTGAGATAAGTTTTATTCTTTTACTTAAGTTAGATTTTTTTTTTTCTTTTTTGGATTTTTTGTATGAATTAATAAGAAAACTCTCATGTATAAAAAATGTATTATGTGTGAATCTTAATATTTTATGTAATATCTTGTGTAATGTAGAAAGAATTTTCTCTTGTGTCACTGTAATAAAAGTAGATGTTTAAGTATTAAATTTGGAGAGAAATAAAATTATTTAATTTTAAAAAAATTAAAATTAAATTGAGATAAAATAAAAATACAATATGAACTTGATATATGATATTTTTTTAAAATTTAAAAAATAAAAAATAATTAAATAAATATTTATAAAACACGAATTGATATGTAGCGCTATTTTTAATGGTGTTAAACTAACGATATAAAATTAATTATTTTAATTTTAAAAAATAAAAATTTAGTTAAAATAAAAAAGTGAAGAATTTATTTGAGAAAAAATCACTAAAAATAAGAATTATCCAGTTGAGAGAATTTATTTTTTGAACTTTTTATGTGAATTAAGGAGAGAATATCATGTATAAAATATGTGTTATTCTTAACATCGTAGTAATTTACTTTAATGTAATATTATGTGATGTAGAAAGGATTTTCTCTTGTGCCAGTGTAATAAAAGTATAGTATTGAAATTGTTATTTATATTTTTTAATTTATATATATATTTGAATTGGAACTTGCAGTATTTATAGGTGAACCTACCACTCTTGCAGTATTTATATATATTTATTGAAACTTGCAGTATTTATAGGGTGAACCTAGCGAGGCCTTGAAAATTAAAAGGAGGAACATGCCCTGCCTGCACATCATCACCAATCTTAACTTAGATGGAGTTGACACTAACCCTGTCTTTTCTCAACTCACCACTGCTGTCTCTACTATCATCGGAAAACCTGAAAAGGTAATTCTATACCTTAATTTCCCTCCTTTTCTATAACCTACTCATTTCTCTCAACAATTCCTCTTCAATCTGAATTTATGTTCATCTTTATAATGAATCTGAATCTGAATCACTTAAAATTATGGTTACCTCTAAATTCAATAGAATTTGAGGGGTTGAAAAAGATTTTCATGTAGCTAATTAAGCAATAGTCTCCTTCTCTTACGATGACGCAGATTTTCTTCTGGTGTCATTAAAACTTTTCATTGAAAAAAAAATGCTATTATCATATCACACTTATCATATTGATGCTTGTTTTTAGTGAAAACATTCGTAAACAATCTATAATAAGATCACTCTTTTAGTTATCATGGGACCAAAAACTTGGCTGACCGGGGAATTAATAAACTGTTGGATCTTGATTTGTAATTGTCAACCAGTTCATATAAACAATAATGAGAAGGGCAATTAAAACATTAATGTTATTTTCCACAAATGGCCTGAAGAACAATTAAAAATCATTAATTTCTGTAAACTCTGAAGTAATAGAATGTCAGCAAAAAGTGTTTGTTTAACGATGAGTTAAATTAACTTCAAAACATAACATATATACTCAAATTTATTTAAATGATAATTTTTATAGTAAGACAGATGTGTCGTTACAAAAAAAAAAAAAAGATAAAACGCACTATAAGATTCTTGGAATTTGTTCTGTCTGTATCACGTGTGAAAAGGGAATTGATAATGGAAAAAGTGGTTTGTGGGACACCCACCAACATGCCACCACCATTGACATTTAGAAACCTAGCCATTATGTCAATATAGACACACACACTCCATTAAATATCTATCTTCCTCACGTACCACAAACTCCCATTACTACATTTCACTCTCTTATCATAAAATCATTAATTTTCATTTTTAAAACTAATTTTATGAATACGAATTAGATATAAATTTTCATTTTAATATTTTAATATGTATTAAAGTTTATTTTAAGGACTGCCTTATGGTTAAATCTGATAAAATCCTTGTTTTATATCAGAAAAAAAAAAGTCTTTCAAATTTTTATTTAGTCCTAATCTACCTCATGTTGTCTAATTATATTAGTCTTTTTATTTTTTATTTTCGATTAGTATGTTTTTATTAATTTGTATTGTTATTTTTATTTCGTTAGTTAAATTTGTATTAGGATTAAAAATATGTTTTTTTTGTCTGATTTTGTTTCTTAATACTTTTCTATTTATAAGTTTTGAAAATTTCACGTGATTTTGTGGATTTCAATTGTTGAATTCTTTTTAATTGCTTGTTGGAAGTTTTATGTTAATCAAGATAACACTAAATTATAATATATAAACGAGGTAAAAATCTTATTATATAAATATTGAATTATGTTTAAAATAAGTTTATTGTTTTCATGATTAAATGTCTGTAAAGGTTATTAATTGGGTTTAGATTAGAAGTTTTTTACTTATTTCCTTTCCTTCAACTTCGAATTTTGCATAATTGTTTTGATAATCTTTTTACACTAAACATGCTCTTAGGTCCTAGGTTTGTATTAAGCTTTCCAAATTCTTGAATCTCCTTACTAATAAAATTTATCATATTTATTATATCATTATTATCATGGGATCATTCATAAATATTTAATTTTACATAAAGTATTTATAACTTGATATAAGAATATGTCAAAAATTATATATCAATCAAAATTTATAATAAATTAATACAACAATCCTACATTACAAAGCTAGTTTTGAACAGTAAATTAAACTTAAATTCTCTTTGTGATACTTTAAAAAGATTCCATCTTTAAATAGTCAAATAAAGTTAGAGTGAAAGTAATATAAAAGAAGTTTGAGGAATACTTTTTTCTAGTTCATATTTATGTGAATATTCTCTGGTATTTAATGTGACTTGCTTATACATAATTGTGCAGTTTGTGATGGTGATACTGAAATCTTCAGTGCCAATATTATTTGAGGGTAACAAGGAAGCAGCAGCATATGCTGAGATAGTTTCAATGGGTGGCATAGATTCAGAAGTGAAGAGGAAGCTGATTGCTACCATTGGAACCATTTTGCAGTCCAAGCTTTCTATCCCAAGAACACGATTTTTCCTCAAAGTCTTTGATACCACTGCAGTTTCTACCAAATCCAAAATGTAATGCTATCTTTCACATTCTCACAAGCTTCCTGTATTAATTTTCTCATGTTGTGCTTTTAATTTGAATAACTATGTAATGTTATTCCCCAAATTCTCCTACATTCTACTCTTCTTTATTGAAAAATCAAACAAAGACAAGTTTTATTCAATGAGTAAAGTATACAATCCACGCAACTTTTAGATTTAAAACAATATGCTTTTATACACAATTTTTCTATATTAATGTGATATTATCCTTTTTAGGTTTTATTCTTTTATTAAAATAAATATAGAAATTTAATTTTTTATAATAATTTTATTTTATAGGATATTAAATAAATATAAATGTGTCATTTCATCATTATTTTTAAAATTTTCTCAAAATAAAATTATAACCTATTTTAAATTTGATTCAAGAAAAGATAGATTGTGTCCGTTGTTACTTTTTATCGACTAATAACTCCTAGGTTTAATCATTTTGGAAGTTCTTATTTGTGCAAATTTGTTTCAATTAGGTCCTTGACACTAGTGGAAAAATAACATTTTATAACGTACAAAAATGATCTTTAATAACGTAGTTACTGGAGACATAGTTCTGGACGATATAGTAAGTTTGCGCATTTTATAACGTAGTAGAAATTTACGTAGTTTCTGAAGTAGGTCATACTATGTGATCAACGTATCATAGTTTAGTACGTTATAATATGTGTTGTTTTTAAAAAAATTGATTATTACATTTGACATCCAATCAAATTATAATAATATTCCTGTATTATCATCTCATCCAATCCATTTATAATAAATATAGCTTTAAATAAACAAATTTATTGAAACTAACAAAATAAAATTCATTTCAAACATTAAATAGTCAATAATATTTAATACATCATTTATACATGAAACTATATATTAAATCCAACTATTACATTAATGTAGATACATTATTGAATTGTAGCCAAGTTTTTACTAACACTTAAAATAAAAGAAGCTCAGTTCCTTCTAATGTCTTCAATGTCTGCAACATCAATAGGAGATGAATCATTAAAGATCTACAAATAAAATAATAGAGTTAAAACAATATTGTAATGAATAATTGGATAAGTATTAAGTTAGTATTATAATACCTTATTCCATGATTCAGTAATGTTTGTACAAATAATGGTATGCATGTGTTTCATTACATAATACCCACATTTATAGCTGCCCAATTGACGTCGACACTACAAATTAAATACAAATAATCAAGACTCATTCAAACCAAAGACACAAAATATCAGATTATACTCTAGCTAGCCTTTGCATCATGTAGCTTTGTATATTTTGCTAAACCAAATTTCACAAAACAAACAACACAGCCAATTCCTCGTAAAAATAGCAATCACAAAACACAAAACAAAGGAAGGTCAACTTCTCTTACATGAGGTGTGATTATTTGCATCTTCTTCCTAGAAACAGATGAAACACCTCGCAACCTTGAATGAGCTTCCAAAGACCTATACAAAAGTTAGACATCAATTACATCATAATAATAATATAAGAGGGAATCAAAATGGAAAGGAAAACTTACGCCTCTAATATATTTTTGATGGACAATGTGTTAGCTTTCTTATGCAAGGAACATAAGAGAACTACAAGAGAACGATCAGGAACAATAACTAGCAATTTCCAATCCCTACAAGTTAGAATAACATTAATTAAAAGAAACTTTTAAACTAGTCATGAAAAATTCAAAAATTATGTACTTACTTATGCAAGTAAGGTGCTAAATAGACCTCTTTACCAGCCTTTTCAAACATTTCTATCAAGTACTTTTGCACCTCCTCTGATTTATTTCCTACACTTTGAATTATAACAAGATCAAGAAATCCATGGATAGTAGCATTCCTTCTATCGATGCAGAGGTGATACAAATACCTTCAATATGAACAAATAATGTTAAAATAAATACACGAATGCAGTATGATAGTATTTTCATGGTTTGTGAAGGTTTACTTACAAATTCCGAAGTTGTAGAACTGTTGTAGAGAGGAGATCATTACCAATGACAATTTCACAAATAGCGGTCAAGTTCCTCCTAGGGGTCCTACAAGCAATAATACACGCAATGCTTCCAACAAGAAGTGTGTATACTGCCACCACACCAGCCATATTGTTGAAACCTGTTATGGCAAGCATGGGTACCCACTGGGTCATCCACGATATCCGAGTCGTCCTCGCTTTAATCAACGTGATGGTGTTGCTTCTGCCAACAGTGCCACTCAAGAAATCAGCAACAACCACAACCCTTCTGTTAAGGGATCCTCCTCTAATGGATCCGGATTTCACTTGACCCAGGCCCAATATCAAACTTTAATCAACCTTCTCCAGCCACAACCTTCTGATACTGATGGTACAAGTTATGTCCAACACTCTCGGGCTAACATCACTCAAGTGTCTTCACCAATTGGTCCATTACATGTTTCTAACCCTAAGCTTGGTATTTCATTTGTTTTTTGCACCACATCCTTTACACAATCACGTATTCATCATTGTTTATCCAATACACACATTATCCCTGTCACACACTCACAAAACAACAATCCTTGGATTATTGATTCTGGGGCAACAGATCATATTACCTCCTCTTTAGATTCTTTTTTTGATTATTCTAAAATTAAACCTGTCCAAATCAATTTACCCAATGGTATTGTTGTCTTTGCACATTTTTCGGACTCTGTTCAATTCTCCCCAAATTTTATAATCCATAATGTTCTTTTTGTTCCCAATTTCAATTTTAATTTGCTCTCTATTTTTAAACTCATTCTTTCTCAAAAATATTCTCTCACCTTTTTCTAGTGTCCACTGTAATTTATAGGAAATGGGGTCATTGAAGATGATTGGTTTGGGTAAATTGAAACAAGGTCTTTATCACTTGGACATCAACCAGCATGCGAGTTTAACAACACCTAAAGCCTCCTTCATCAGTAATTTCACTACCCCTCCCATCAGGCTAGGACACCTTTCCAAGAAACGTCTCAATGTTTTACACATGAATTTTCCTTTTATTTCTAAACATGTTGATGACAATTGTGACATTTGCCATCTAGCTAAACAAAAATGTTTGTCATATTCCCCAAGTATTAGTAAATCTTCCAATTTCTTTGATTTAGTTCATATGGATATTTGGGACCTTTTTCTAAACCATCTTTTCATGGTCATAAATATTTCCTAACTATTGTTGAGGATTTTAGTCATTTTACATGGGTTGTCTTATTAAAATCAAAAGGGGAAGTCCAAAAGCATGTTCGAAAATTTATTGCCTTAATTGAAAATCAATTTCATACCACCATTAAGTGTATCCGTTCGGACAATGGACCTGAATTTTTTCAAAGAGATTATTTTTCATCAAAGGGCATTTTACATCAAACAAGTTGTGTTTATACCCCCAACAAAATGGACGTGTGGAACGAAAACATCAACACATTCGTAATGTGGCTAGGGCCCTCATGTTTCAATCTAACCTTCCCACACCTTTTTGGTCTTATGCTATTAAACATGTAGTTTTCCTAATAAACCGTGTTCCTTCACCTGTTATTCAAAATAAAACTCCCTTTGAATTATTGTACAAAGAACCTCCTGATTTTTCTATGATTAAAATTTTTGGTTGTCTTTGCTATGCATCAACAAATCCTTCTCGTCAAAAATTTGACGCCCGCTCTAGACATGGGATTTTTTTAGGCTTCCAAACAAGAACCAAAGGCTATGTCATTTTTGACATCAACAACAAAGAAATTTTTGTATCACGTAATGTTACATTTAATGAGACGTTTTTTCCTTTTTCACTACCCTGTCCAGCTTCACAATCTACTACCAATGCACTCCCAGACAATGACACCAGCTCAATTCATATTCAAACCCTTCCAAAACTTGAAATATACTATTCCAACCACCATTCCTTTGAATCACCCACTTACCATGAGCCTATAGACTCCCCAGATCTCACTCTTTATCCTAACTTACCTTCTTCATAGTGACCCTCCTTCACCGCACCATCAACCCTCTCCCTCATCACTACCACCAAATTCCCCTCTAACTCCGCGACATTCAACCCGGATCACCACTCGCCTAAGCTATCTTGATGATTATTATTGCAACATTTCTTCCAGTGATTTGACCATTGTTCCAAAGGATTCTAACCAATCCCCTTCAAAGATCTTGTATCCTCTCCAGTCCGTCGTCACTCATTCTCACTTGTCTTCTCCTTATTCTCACTTTCTGATGTGTCTCAATCGAGAGGAAGAACCAAAGATGTATCAAGAGGCTGTTACCCAACATTGCTGGCAGGAGGCCATGCAAGCCGAAATTTTGGCCTTGAAGCAGAACAAAACTTGGGACATTGTTCCGACACCTCCCTATGTCAAACCCATTGGATACAAATGGGTTTTCAAAATTAAGCGAAGGCCTGGTGGATCTGTGGAACGCTAGAAAGCTCGCCTTGTTGCGAGAGGGTACTCACAAATTGAAGGGGTCGATTATCTGGAAACTTTTTCCCCTGTCATAAAAATGGCTACTGTTAGGGTTCTTCTAGCTTTGACATCAATCCACAATTGGGACTTACAACAACTCGACATCAGCAATGCTTTTCTCCATGGGGACCTTTCAGAAGACGAGTATATGGTAATTCCTCTTGGACTGTCTGGTCATCCTACTAATCATTGTTGCAAGCTTAAAAAGTCTCTCTATGGCTTGAAACAAGCAAGTCGCAAATGGTATGAAAAATTATCTCTTCTATTGCTATCTTCTGGGTATGTTCAAGCACATGCTGATCATAGTTTATTTGTCAAAGTTATTGGTTCTGCTTTCACTGCTCTCATTGTTTATGTTGATGATATCGTGCTTACGAGAAATTGTGCTTATGAAATTACTAAAATTAAGACCGTCCTTAACTCTCATTTTCAGATAAAGGATCTTGGTCAATTGAAATACCTTTTAGGAATAGAAGTGGCTCATTCTAGCAAAGGAATTTCTATATGTCAACGCAAATATTGTCTGGATTTGATTAAAGATTCTGGCCTCATGGGTTGCAAACCCTCTTCCACTCCAATGGATGATTATTTGTGTCTTCATCAAGACTCTAGTGGTCTTTTAGCTGATCCTTTGTCATACAGACAATTGGTAGGACGTCTCATCTATTTAGCCAGCACAAGAGCTGATAT